CCTTCCAATAGGCATTTATTAAGTAATGCTCTTATTGCCTCTTCTAATGCAGTGCCTCCCATTTTTAGCATCTCTGAAGTCATTTTATCTTCTCCTGGTGTTTTCCCATTTTTCATTTCTTTTAGGGCGGCTCTAATTTCTGATGTTATTATTTCAGGGAAGTCCTCTGAGCCCACATTTAAGATATGTTTTTTTGGTATACCGGGGTTCGGAATAGTAGAAATATACAGCTTCTCATATAATTTTCGAATTTCTCTAACGATCTCTTCCTTCACAATGTTCCACGGTCGTCTTTTATCTTTATGATTTTATTCCTGCCAGTGGATTTACATGTTTTTAGTACTTTCATGTTCTTATTATTTTCTATGGTTTCAAGAATCTGGTTTGTTCTATAAACTCTGAGGTCTTAATATTTTTCTTAACGCTTCTGTTGAGCGCTTTATAGTCCGGGTTATCTCTGTTCGTTCTTCTTCTTTTCTCTATCTGTTCTAGAGTTTCGGGTTTTAGTTTAGCTTCCTTTTGTTTTCTTATTCTGCAACAGAGTTTCTTAGTGACTGTTTGTATGTCTTTAGTTATTTTCTCAGCTAGTTCATCTATATTCTTGTGCTCAAAGGTATTTGCTACTAGTTTTCGTGCTAATTCCTCTTGGTATTTCTCTTTATTACTGGCTAGGATGTCTGCCGTCGGTAAAGGGTTTGTTGTTAATAGTTTTCGTCTTTCTCTCTTTACGTTAATACGTATATCAGCACGAACTAGTCTATGGTCACTGCCGGTGTTAAATTTGTTCAATACCTCGATGTTTATAACGTATTAACGTTATTATATATATTAATAACGTATTATCTGCCCCAATTTAAATTAGTTATATTAAATGCCATTATGTACAAACGAAGCTATTAACATTTATAAATTACTGCAAAATAATTGAGGGTTTTTCGGCAAAATACGAAAGTACGTTTCTATTTTGAGAACGATTTCCGAATTGGAAATTGAAATGCCAATAAACGTACTTTAACCTTTATTTGTGGCTTATTCCCATTTAATTAGTAATTATGTCTTGTTTATCTCTGCACTTGGTCACACATATTCCTTCAGGACTGTAAATACTGACCACTTTACGTTTTTTTTTAGTTTCTTTGACAAGTGAGGATTGTCTATTCGGTTATTTCTTAATATGGACTATCAGTAATTGTTTAGTAAAGTCAATTACTGATAGATCTATTATAGAAGTTACCCATACTTTTCCAGTAGTCATTTAGACGGTTCATCTTAATTGTCCTCATTTGGAATATAAGCCCGAGAAAAGTTTTAAATTCTGTTTGTGTTGTCTGTTTCCAAAACGCAATCCTCGATTTTTCTAAACGACTTTGTGCAAATATTTCGTCAGAGTCACTTCCACCATTCATTTAATCTACATCATCCTCGCCAGATGCTTCTAAAAATGATTGTAATTCAGCAGTGGTCAATCTACGTTTATGTTTACGTCTAGCTTTTTTAGACGTCGAACACATAATATTATTTACATCCATTTTTTTACAAATACTATAACTTACTTTCACATACGTAATTAACAATGAAAACATACTACTAGAAACTATCAATTTACGTTTTCCAATACTATAAGGGCACTTGAGGCACAACACGTTTTTACTCAATAATAATTCCTGTATAAGTAAAATTGCTTTTTAATTTGCTTCATTGAAGCACACTAGACATATTGCAGTTTTGCTATCACATTCTTCACAGTATGTTTTAATTTTTTTAATTTTTCTATCGGCCTTTCTACTATTCACGCTTATTCTTAAAATTTTGTAACCTCTTGTACACTTCCTTCTCTTTTTATTATCTACATCGCTTTGCCTGAGATGGTATTTTTTGGGTGTAATTAGTCATCAGGGTTTCAACATTTCTTTATTTGCAAACGCCTTCGCTAATTCCAGTCTGAACTCAAGGATAGGTTGTCGCTTTTTTCGCGTTTTCTATTATTTAGCAAATAAGTATTGACTACTGCGGTATTAAATATTAATTCCACTGCCACTTTCCGGTACCACTTTAGTATTTTGCGTATTGGGCTTTTGTAAAAAGCCATTTGATCGCTAAAATCAACTCTTTTTTCACAACGTTATAATTTAGAATAGTTTGTGGTTTTAGCACTTGTGTCTAATTTTTCTTTCCACCTGAATAAACCAAGATACAACTATTATGTTTAAATGTTGTAATAATTAAAACTGGTTCTTTGTCGACCCTTTTTATCACTTGTGAAATCAATAATGGGGTGAAGTTTCAGTATAAGTAGTTGCGACTTTTTTAATCTAGATTTTGGTTTTGAATTTTTTGTAATAGAACATCTGCACATAAATTCGTTTCTTGAACTATGATTTGAATTCATCGACCCATATTCTAAAAGAAATGTGTTTTTACGTTGTCGGGAATATTATAAATTGGTTATCTTTCACAAAGCATTCGAAATATGATTTAAATTCTATTTCAGAAAAAATTTTTACTGCAACTCTTGTTCGACCTAAACTAAATTATTACACAAAACAAGTAATCTATTTTTTTTATAGAAATGTAGAAATAGAATTTCCTGTCGAAGTTTTATGTGTGGCATAAGTCACTGGTGTCTCGTATATACGATCCTCTTATCGCATTACAAACATAATTCTCAATTAACAGTGCGGTACAAGATATATTTAGGTTGTATAATCAAGCCGTAATACTTGTCGTGAGACCATAAGACCGTATGTTATAAATAAATATATTCCTACAAGAATTATCTTAAAAAATGAGAAAAATACAATAAAAAAGTGCAATATGAAGTGTTATTTAAAAAATGGCAAGTCATTCACGGGCGGACAGTTAAAAACAAAAGTTTTCAGTGTTCTATTGCTTGATTATTATTATCTAATTGGTATATTTTAAAAATACTAGGGACATCCCCACCGACCACAATCTTCTTCTTACAACAATTAGGATAGAATTTAAAAGAACAAAAAGAAATAAGCAAATAATAGCTATTAACCCAGATAATACCAAATGATTGGCTGACATCGGTGTTTATACCACTACCAAAGAAGAAAAACGCCAAGAAATGTGAAGACCATAGGATTATTAGCCTGATGAATCATATATTGAAACTTTTCCTACGAGTAATACACAATAGAGTATACAATAAACTAGACGAACACACTGGTCAAACTCAGTTTGGTTTTAAGAATGGGTACGGAACAAGAGAAGCACTTTTTTCAATACGTGTGCTAGTTGAAAGATGTAGAGATGTCGATTCTGATGTATACTTGTGTTTTATATACTTTCAGAAGGCGTTTGACCTGGTGAAACATTATAAACTAATAGATATTTTAAGGTCAATGCAACTCTTTCTAAAAACCTACGGCAATGGACGAACATGACCTCCATAGAACTATTCAGAACTGCTACAAATAAGATTAAATGGGCAAATGTAATGGCCAACGTCCTTAAGGATAAGGCACCGTAAGAAGAAGATTGGTTAAGTGCTATCATTTGAGATATCGTACGTCACTATTGGCCTAATAGGACCAAAGGTACATAACTAAGGCCCTTTTGACATGCAACTCCATTACCTCATTGTATCTCATTGTATTTTATTTGTTAAATCCTTTCATTTGAGGTACTGCACGTCATGATTGGACTAACAGAACCGAAGATACACAACTAAGGCCCTTTTGACATTGTGCTGTATTTCATTTTTCTATCCCATTGTATTCCTTACGGTAAATCTTATCATTAGAGGTACTATACGTCACGATTGGACTAATAGGATCAAAAATACGTGACTACGGCCCTTTTGACATGTTGCTGTATTTGATTTTTTTATTTCATTGTTTTCGATTGGTTAAATCCTATCATTTGAGATACTGTACGTCACGATTGGACTTATAGAAACGAAGATATATAACTAAGGCCTTTTTGACATGCTGATTTTCTGTCTTATTGTATTTTATGGGTAAATCCTATCATTTGAGGTGCTGTACATCACGACTGGACCAATTGGAGCAAAAATATGCAATATATACCCCGTTATATATACCCAATATATAACCCGTTATTTTTAATCAAACAAGATGCTAGAATGATTTATGGATGAAAAAAATATATATAAATTCTTAAATTTACCATTTCGTTGTGGGTAATACTATATTCAACAGCGATGCCAAATTTCTGATGCCAAAATGATTGATAATGAAAGTGCGATATACATTTTCATGTATATAATGGCAGCGAGTAAACGGTGAAACCCTGAACTAAATATATATAATATTTTCACTGTACCATCATTTTAGACTCAAACATTTCCTGGAATAAACTTATATAACTCAGTAAGGGATAAAAAGAGAAAGCGGACATTTTAAAATACCAACACGGTATCAAATCTCTAATCATTGAGATGGTTAAAATTCTTGTAACAAGTACAGGAAAAAAGTTATTAAGGTCTTGTAAAGTAGCGTCGATATACAGATGCTACTTTGCAAGACGATGCTAAATTGATGGTAAAAGCATAATGTATCGATGCCAAAATGATAGTAGGATGTATATATATATATATATATACATATATATATTAAAGTAATTCATAAAACTATTTAGTTACAATCCCTTCCTCTAAAACTTTTAAATAATACCGTACTAATGCGTTCAATATATTTAAAACAACATTTAACAACAACAATTTACTCATTAGTTTTAAAAATAATTCAAGTGTTTGACATCTAATACAAAATGTACGGTATATTATATCATTACTGGATGAATTTGATTCCTTGAGTTACACTTTTATTCTGACAATACATCTCATCACAATAGATTTCATTTCAAGCTGCTACAAGTCTTCTTGATGAGAGGTGAAACGTGTAGAAGAATGGTGAAGCTTGAACTGTTCTTTATATTCATATAAATATAAAGGTCTAAGACCACTAAAATGGACTATATCAAGGATGATGTAGTAACTAAATAGGTTAATGGCATGTTTGCACAGCATTTAATTTATAATGGTAAACTGAATAAATCTAAATTAATTAAATAAAAAGTAAAAAAATATTTGGCAAAAATTTTAAAAATATATATATATAAAATAAAAAATATAAAATAATAATTAAAATTGCAAAAATAAAAAAATTGAGTCTAAAAGAGGAATGTTGATTTTTTTAATTGCTGTTGGAGAGTAGTAAACTGACTCAAGAATACTCTAATATGAAATGTACAGTACATGTCATAAAATTTAAGAGCTGTAGCTATAATAATACAGAAGAAGTGTTATTTGTTGCATGGAAATAAAACTTATGTGTAACTTTATAATAAAAATAGTAGAAGACGTCAAAACTTTTAAAATAATATTTGGAGGACATGAGAGGCATGCTTTCACTACTACTTTTCCGGTGGTAAATGTGACTGATATAGCAGTTCATAACCGACTGAGGCTTATCGTGGGAAACTCCATGCTATTTAATCAGCGCCTGGAATCATTGGGCTTCGCTGATAAAAGGTGTAAGCTTTCGCAAAATCAAAACTACCATCAAGCAAACCTGGATTGAACAGGGTGAGATTTGAAAGGATTGAAGAGTTGAAATATCGCGAGAGTCATAGCGATGGAAGTAACGAGGTCTTCAAAGAAATGAAAATGAGGCTGTTACCAGTAAAATTAAATAACTGGTTTTAGAATTCGAACGATGTCAAAACAACCTGTTAGTCTACTTTTTACAGAGTCAATTTACCACTTCCAGTGTTTATAAAAAATATGAACCCAAATGAAATCTCTCAAAATTTAAATGTCAATCACAGTATCTGCTCCCTTGTCGCTTCTCTTTCCCTCAAACTCCTTATATTTATTTTTACCCAACTCCACGGTTTTTAAAAATTCGCTTTTACCAAACAGAAACCTTTTGACGTTCTCCTCCATTTCCGCATATCTAGCCTTATCGATAGATTCTGAAGAATGAGCTTTGGCAGTTTCCGATCTGGAATTTTCTGAGCTACTTATGTCGTTATCGATATTACTCCTGATCCAGTCTTCCACTCGCTGTTGGTTTTGCGTCGAGTTCTCGCTGACCATAGAGTTCGTTTCTAAGCTGTCTGGTGTCGGAGCTGATTCCTTTGGCAACAGTTTTTGAGAAGATCTAAACAGAAAGTTTATTATAAGTACACCATTTTACCATTTTATGAACTAGTGCCTATAAAGAACTCGCGACACTTAATTTTTTTAAACCATACATAATTGTCAGTTATCTACGAGGCGTACACTGAAAGTTTTGCACAGAGCCATCTAGCGGAAGTTAATCGATTTGTAAATGTGATTTTCGTAAATTTTGAAATTTCTTATGGTAAAATACTTCAATAGATTAAAAATCCATCACGTGGTGCAGCAGCAACAAATTTTCAAAACCATCAATATAGCGGAAAAATGGAAATCTCTCGTGAAAATTTATTTTGATGTTAGGACGATGTAATGATTGTGTAACGATTTTATAATATTTAAAATCACGAAATGATCTTGGTTTTTGTGATAAAACATCGCACCCATCAACTGCTCACAGATGGTTTGAAGAATTAAAGTTTGTTGTTACGCAAAATATTGATGCTTGATTGAAGTGGATCAACACGTTATCTGCTTCCTTCTTCCTCCTCCTTATTAAACACCCCACAAAGGGCGACCTCCGTTAAGATGAGCCCTCATTCCCAGAATTCAATTTTTTCCATTTTTTTACGTTCCATCTAATTAAAAAAAAAAGACTCAGCGCAATTTTACCCAGCCACCCACCACCCCTACCCCCAAAACGTATATTTTTCGTATTTATTTTTTTTTAGATAAGATGCAATCAATTTAAAAATTTCAAAAAATTCACACGCATAATTGAGGCTTTTACAAAACTTGTCTATTAGTTACATACCCGTAGGTTGAATGTACATAACCTAAAAATGCACTTTTTTGTACAAAAAAGCGTATACATTTTTTTGAGGTGGCTGCAGGCCAAATTTTTTTTCCGTATGTTGTGACATCTTAAAAACTGTTGTTAGGGATTTTGGGATATTTTCTTCAGATTTGAAATTAAATGAGACCTTTACGATATTCAAAAATTGGCAAAATAGTTTTTGATCAAATACACAAAATAAAAAAAATTGGACCCGCAGCCACCTCTAAAAAAAGTTTTTTCAAAATAAAAAAGATCATTTTTAGGTTATGTACACTCAATTCATTTAAATTTGATTGAGCTTGAAATATATCAATTTTGAAAAAATACAAATATAGTCCAAACCCTTCTTTCAGCGCGTCTGAACTGCCCTAAAACTGGCAGTTGCCAGAATCGTAATAATTTATAAGATTATTGCTTTTTAACACTTCTATTACTATTTGGAATAAAAACAAATCAATAGAGAAAGACAATCAGCCGAAACAGCTGTAGTGATAAGAATTTTAAATAAATTTTGTGGAAGTTTGAAAACAAAGTTTTCAGTGTTTTATTGTTACATAAAATTAATTTCCACCAAGTAACGGTCGAATCCAACAATTAAATCAATAGTGTTTATTGTATTTATAAACAGTTCTGTTCTTTAATTTGTATGGTCTATATGGTATGGTTATATTATAAAAATCGCATATTCAAAGAAAATATGGTTCTGATAAGAACTTTTTTAATACATATACAATACATATCCAACATCCATAGCAGAAATATTTTAAGATATTTTCCCTCAATACCATTCCTGACTTCACAATCCGATTCAGAATCTGATTCATTGAAATTAATCACACTCAGAGTCTCATCTTTTAATCACATAAAAAGTAAAAAATATTAGAATATTAATTCAGGTTGTTTTAATGTCAAAACGTATGTTTAACCACTTCAAAACTTCCAAAAGCCGCGAGAAACATGTTTTGTGGGGTGTTTAACGGGTTGATTGCCATGAGTACCACATGTGGTACTCAGTTAAATTTCCATTTATACTACAGCTCTTCTAGAGCATGTTGACCCATGAGGCCACGACGATTTTTATTTATTATTTTAATTTAGGCTTTTGTAAGAATCTTTTGTGGATTAATTAATATATTTTTAAGTATTTCACACCATACATTCGCTATTGTAAATTATAATAATCAATTCCAAGAAGAGAAGATTACTCCATTTGTTTGAGACTGTAGAAATACGAAGCGGATCATCGTCAAACAGCACAAAAGGAGAATCCACGTGTGTGGACAAAGTGTTTTGCTTGCGCGAAATATTTGTGTTCTGACTGCTTTCTTGAGGTGCATGCTGCCAAACTACAGAATTTCTTTTATTAGCAATTATGTTAAGTTGTCGACTATTTTTTTCTACCGTCTTTTAGAATTACGCTACTTGTTAAATAGCCTTATTTTTAATCACATAGAACATACAAAAAATGAAAAAATAGAATTTTGGGAGTGATGGCATTTTGCCTATCTTAATGGGGGTACCCTTTATAATTTAAATTATTGTTTTTGGAGATATCTTGTCAATTGACCTCTTCAGTAAATTTCAACATTGTACCAAACAATCATTCAAGTTAAGATTTATGTAATTTAGTTTAGACAGTATTTGATACATTTCACTTTTCATTCTGAATTTCAATTTTTGTAGAGCACCGAAAACATTCAGATTTAGTCACTTTTAAAGTACTTTTCTTTTCAATTGATCCATAATTATATAAGTTTTCTATATGACTTCCCGTAACTTATTAATGGGTACTCATGTCACATGCTGTCACATGCTTTCGTTAAACGCAACATGTCATACACATTCTTGTACCCCATGTCCCCCTTGTCATGTGTGGCATGACTTTAAGGGGTGGCCTGCAAAATGTATTATATTTTATTTATTTTATATATATATTACATTTTCTATACATTATATATTATATAATCAAGCCATTTTTTTTTTACATTTTTCTCTAATAAAACCACATATTGTACATATTGCGTTTTACTTTACCTACACCTGGTATCTCTCAGCTACTTGAGTTTTAAATGGTTTTTAAGATTAAATCATCATCATCATCAACTAGCCTCTAACGTCCACTGCTGAACATAGGCCTCTCGCATGCTTTTCCACTTAGTCCGATTTTGCGCCATCTGAATCCAATTTGTAGTCACTCTTTTTATGTCATCTGTCCATCTCGTTGGGGGTCGACCTCTATTTCTGTAAGCTTGTATTCGGGGTCTCCATTCCAAAATTCTTTTTGTCCACCGGTCATCATACTTAATCATACTTTAAACTCAACCATACATTAAATCATACTTTTATCGTTTATCACTACACTTTGTAGCATTCCCACTGTAATATCCACGGAGTAGAAGTTCCAACAGACCTTTACTCCTGGCTCCCATCTTTTTTTTTTGTTATCAACTCCTTTCCTCTTCGGCGAACTTCGGTTTTTATCTGTTGTTTCTTTATCATCATCTATTTTCTTCTAACACGGTACGAAAAGCCAGCCCATCTCCATTCCCTGAATATTTACGTCTCATCCTCTTATTGTTCTCTGTATTTCACTCAATACATTTTAGTTGACCAGCTTGACCATCCGTTCACTTAAATTTCCTTCCAATTAATATCACTAGCCTCTAATTTCTCCCCATTTTCTTTATCTCTCGCTTGATCAAATTGTTAAGCCTGGTTTTTATTTTCCTTTCTTTCTTTTTCTTTCGCCGAGCCAGTCTTTTATCTTTATTACCAAAAATAACCTTATAACCCCAAATTATAAGGTTATAATTTCACTAAAATTTCTTTACTTCAAATTTCTGAGATTATTCATCTCCAAACTGCGAAAAATGTTATGAAACGGCTTCTTCGGACAAAACAAATTGAGGCTGAAGTTGGGGCACTGGACGCGAAATTTGAAGCTCCGCTTCTTAAAAAACTAGAACCATGTGGGTATTTTTCAAATTTGTTTGAAACGCCGCAAATCTCTTAGATTCAAATCTCTTAATTGAGAGACCACATAAAACAAAACAGTGATTACTCGTTCAAAATTGACACATTACATTGAGTATAATTCACTTTTTTCAACAAATTTGCCACTTTTTAACGCCGACACTCGTAGCGTCTTGAATTAATGACCAATCTTTCAAACCTGATTTCACCTCGACTTCGATCTCTGTATCTTCTACCATTTCCAATACCCCACGTACCAGTTTTCCCAACGGGCCAGTGAATCGGATTTCTTTCCACGGAAGCATTTGACCTTGAATCATTGCTTGCTTTTAAAATTGTAGAACTAAGACGTACACATAAATATAACCATATTTAATATCGCAGTTATAACTGGAATTTGGAATTTTTCCTCTACATCAAATATAAACAGAGAATCAGCAAAATATTTATATTTGGCCCAGGGGCGTCCAGTTAAATTTTTTACTTTGAATATTCGATATTTAAGGACTTTATTATGCTACAAACTTTTATTGACTTGATTATCTTTATCGTTGTTGATTTTATGCGCTTATTCCACACAGAACGTACCAGGGATTATTTGTGTATTCACTTACCGTGTAAAAAGAACGGGTGCTATGTTATTGTGAGCGTTATCTAGAAGGATATTCCTGCTGCCAACTTGGGTTCTTAAGGAGGCGTACCTTGGGCCTTTCGGCGAAGACAGCTTGGCACTTCCAGCATCTTCATTATTCTCGGACTCGCCTTTCTCTGAGGTCGACTCTATTTCATAACTAGATTTGAGTTGATCACACAGTCTATAATGGAAACAAAAATGTTTAAACCAATCAATAAAAAAATATAATTAGTTATAATACGCTGTTCATGGCTTCATAGAGGGCTTTAGAGATGATGCCCAGAAGTTGGGTATTATTGTGGGTAACATAAAAATTAACCCAAGGGGAAGTTTAGTCTTGAAATTTAAGAGGAATGAAGAATTCCCGATCAAAGTCTAAAGTCACAAGAGGGAGAGAAATTCTGGAAATTGAAGAGGTGGAGGATTACATGTATCTGGGAGTTCTTCTGACAAATAAATGCGAAGAAGAAAAGCAAATAGATCTACTAATAGCAAAACAAATAGGAAACAGATATCTTTGCAAACAGACAGTTTGCAAAGAATAATAAAATCGAAACGTATCGAGAAATACACAATTAAGGCTGTATAAAACTATCCTGCGACCTACTCTAACATATGGGCGCAAGACATGGGTGTTAACAAAGAAACTACAACAGATAATTGAAATATGGGAACGAAGAATGTTAAGAAGGATGGGAGCGAAGAACAAATGCTGAAATTTGTTGATCGGGGAAGGGAGAATAAACAATTAGAATGGAGGACAGTAGAGAGGTAAAGAACATAAGAGGAAAAGAGGCAGACCGAGGAGAAGATGAAGGGAAGCAGTTGCGGAAGATCTACAAAACAAGAAGATAGAAAATTGGAGGAAAGAAGCTAGAGACAAAAGGACATGGAAGAGAATTACTAAGCTATGGGCCTGAAACGGCCTGTTAGAAACTTTTATTTATAGTCCTAAGTCCTAAATTCAAAGTACATAGTTCTAATTTATGCAAATTTCAAGAAGATGTAATATGTCAGATGTCATGATTTGTAATATTATGGTCTAAAAGGTTGTTTTACTAGAAGAAAAGTTTCTGTAGGAGGAATACTAGAAAAAAGATTTTCTACCTTAAATAAAATTAATCTGGAGTTTTAGGGTAATTAAAAATGTTGTATTTTGTTAAGTAGTTCTATTGTTATTGTTCTGAAGCTATTTTCTTGTGGAATTTTAAATTAATTACTATTTAACTGGGAATAAGCGACAATTAAAGATAAAAATACGTTTATTGACCTTTCAATTTCGACTTCGGAAATCGTTCTCAAAATACAAACAGTAAATTAAACAAATTTTGTTTTTTGTTACACAGTGAAAAATTCTTTTAATAATTTAATTTTATCTGACTCATTTATATTGACAATTCAGACATACATTATGCATTTTAAAGTAGACGACTTTAAAATGATATTGCCAATATTGTTGAGTTGCGCTCCTGGGACGACTTTACTTATAAGATAGTTCATTCGATTACATGAAATCAACTTTAACTTGGGAATATCCGTCAGAAAAAAATCATAGCATGTAATTCGTCTTTAAAAAGACAAGCACATGACATGATGACAGTAAAATTCTCCTGTTAGTGATTCCATAGTAAATTATGAGGGAAAAACCAGGAAAAAAAATCCTCATAATACTATCCCGACATAGTAAGTATTTGTTCGTGCATTTAGTTTACCTTCAATAAACACCAAAATTCTGATTTTATATGTTTCGTTATTTAAAAAAAAAACATAAATGATGTATCCTCTATATGTTACTGACTTTACTGGTATTTTCTTATTAATAACTTCCTCTTTCAATATTGGTAACCAAATCCTACTACATTCTGCCGAGGAATTTGCGACACAATTGGCCTCATTTAGCATAATTATTAGCATAATAAATCAAAGAAGCGGCTCTAATTATTTTAAATGAGGCCAATTGTGTCGCAAATTCCTCGGCAGAATGTAGTAGGATCTGGTTACCAATATTGAAAGAGGAAGTTATTAATAAGAAAATACCAGTATTAGTAAGTCAGTAACATATAGAGGATACATCATTTATGTTTTTTAAATAACAAACATATAAAATCAGAATTTTTTTGTTTCGGGATAGTATTATGAGGTTTTTTTTCCTGGTTTTTTCCTCATAATTTACTATGGGATCACTAACAGGAGAATTTTACTGTCATCATGTCATGTGTTTGTCTTTTTAAAGACGAATTACATGCTATGATTTTTTCTGACGGATATTCTCAAGTTAAAGTTGATTTCATGTAATCGAATGAACTATCTTATAAGTCAAGTCGTCCCAGGAGCGCAACTCAACAATATTGGTAATATCATTTTAAAGTCGTCTACTTTAAAATGCATAATGTATGTCTGAATTATCAATATAAATGAGTGAGATAAAATTAAATTATTAGAAGAATTTTTCACTAAGTAACAAAAAACAAAATTTGTTTAATTTACTGTTTGTATTTTGAGAACGATTTCCGAAGTGGAAATTGAAACGTCAATAAACGTATTTTTATCTTTAATTGTGGCTTATTCCCAGTTAAATAGTAATTAGTTCTATTGTGTTTTTTACGGTGAATTTGGATGAAAATTTAGTGTGTTCTGATAGCAATTTTTTAAAAATTTTATCAAAAGTAGAAGCTACTCAATTGTTTCTACTCTAACCTCTTTAATTTGTCTTAAGATTTACTCACTGGATGATCCAGTCGACAGGACGACATAAAAATATTAAGATTAATGTTCACAATATTTTTGTATTAAAATTCAATTTCTAACAATTTTTGCCTTACCTGTGATGTTTTCCTTCATTTTCACTAGCCTTTGGCGTGTTAACAGTCTGGTACGACATTATTTCATTCAAAATCACGTTTTCAGAACTAGGACTAACTTTAGATGCGATTCTGTTCGAATCGACTAGACTAGGGGATTTGGTGATGTCAACATTTTTATCGGCTAAAAAATTATTGGGCTGAACCTTGACGATATTGTAGTTGGCTTGATTAAGAACCGGCTCAATGTTCTCCAAAGGGTAAATAGGAACGACTTTGTGGGTTTTAGGTTCTGAAGTCCGTACAATCTTCATACCTAAATTTAACAATGTAGAAATTAGGATTTGTCTGAGAAAGCAAAAATATGTGATATTCCAAATAAAATTTGAATTCGGGAAAATATTTTATTTATTTTTTAAATTATCAATATATTTTACCGTTAATAGAAACTATATTTTTGTTTTCTCAAGGCAATAAAATTAATACATACTGCCCAAACAACCTATTGATTACTGAGCTTTTAATTGTATATGAAGATGTCACACCGATAGACAAAATAATTCTGAATATTAAACTTACTAGTTATGGGCAATACACTCTCATTACACCTCAAACACACCATCTCCTTGTACTCTCCAGTCTGCGTGCCGATGCTGTGACACTCTAGCTGATGAACAATCTTCACTCCTTTGGCACAAGTGCATGTATCACAATGTTTGACCGCAGCTCTTTCCCGCTGTCTTTCTTCCAAGACTTTGGCCATGATTGCGGCTGAGACGATGTCCACCGGAGGGGATTCAGGTTCTGGTTCGGACTTCCGTTCGGGGTTGGGCGATTTTGGAACCGAATATACCATCGCCGTAGGAGGAAAAGTGGGAATGGGAACCTTGATGCTTTTAATTTCTGGGGGTACTCGTGGTTGCTCCGGTTTCTTTTTGGTAGTCATGTAGTTTGAGACTTGGGACTGCACTTCTGGCGGTAACTGAAATCGCATAATACATAACATCTAACTATGCTAGTTGTGATCAATAAATGCACAGTAAATCCAGTAAAGAAAATTTTAATTAACTTTGCCAGCAGAAGAAAACATGATTTAAGTTCGACGTTATTTGGACACATGGATATACACTAAGCAACGTAGATCAAGGATAGAAAGAAAAAGTAATAAAGAGGTAAGAACTCGAATAAAAGTAGAAGAAATAGTGGTAGACCGAATAGAAAAACTCCCGCCCCCGAAGTGGTTTAAGTATGTTAGGATTTAGTATAAGAATGCCTTACAAGTGGCGGCTAAACTCGTTTTCATCGTTCTTGGCGTGTGCCTGAAATAAGCTACTACGGAATTTTTAATATTCGTCTCTCTCTGATACACAGATGCGTAATTCAATTGTGCGAGTCATGTTCGTCATGTTAAAGTGCGATGAGAAGGGAATGAAGAGACCACTCACGTCTCCCAGTATTGTAGCAATAACACCGATGCCTTTGGCCTATACGGTGTCGGTGATAAGTTCAGCCTCTTTACGAATACAGATAGCTGACAGTGACGTGTTTTTTTAACATGTTACCCTGATCTGCGCAGGTTTGAAGTAGCTGATGAAATAGTTTTTATAAGTAAACAGTTTTTAATTAATTAATAGTTTGAGCTCTTACTGTATAGAATTCCATTACATAAAATAATACTCTCGGCACCTTAAAAATTCCAGTTTATTATAAATTAACTCCCTCTCTTCCGATACCCATTGCAATAATGACTTGTGGCATTGTTCTTGAATGAGCTGGCTAATAGGTTTATAATTGTAGCAATTACCATTGATATTTTATGTTGCTTTAGTCGATTTTAGTCAGTCATTGTTGGAATTTATTCCAAACAGTTTTACTTATTATTTTTTGTTGTGAATAACTAATTGTTCTATTTAATAAAAAAATGCCGGGAAAAACGATACAGAAGAAATGCGACAATGTGTATTATTCGAGTATTTTAAAAAAGAAAAAGAAAACAACGGACCTTTGCTTTCGTTATCATCGGTACATGAACGAGTAGCGGACGCTTTGAAAATCAGTCTTCGCACAGTGACAAGAATAAAGAGTGAATACAAGACAGGGGCAGCTCTTACTACACCAGGAGAGTCACGTAATGTACAAAAAAAGATTAATGATGTCAGCGATACTATAAAAGGAGAGATTAGAAATGTACTGTATGGCATGAAATCAAAAGGAGAGCACGTTACAATTAAAGTTCTAAATACACAATTAAGAAACAAGCATCTCTATGATGGTTCTGATACAAGTTTGTGGCGTATTATGAAAAATTGTGGGTTTTCATACAAACTAGAAAATAGTAGACGAGTGCTATGTGAGAAACCATGTTATGTCTCCAAACGACTGTATTTTTTGAGGCATTATATGAGAAATTTTTAAAGTCCAAGCCCACTTCAGTTCGTTTTTTTAGATGAAACATGGATATTCCTAAAAGGGGCATATAAACGTACTTGGCAAGATGCCTGTGTGAAAAGCATCAGAAAAGGACACGAAAATACAGGTAAACGTTTTGTTGTTTTACATTCCGGAATTAGGCAAGGATTTGTTAAAGATGCTGGATTACTGTTTTCTACGAAATCGAAGAGTGCAGACTATCATGATTCTATGGATAAAGAGTCTTTTAAAACGTGGGTCTCCGAAAAGCTGGTACCAATGTTGGAGGAACCATCTCTAATTATTATGGATAATGCCTCATACCATAGCTCTTTAATAGAAAAGTTACCGAATGCCAGTTGGAAAAAATCGGACTTACAAGAATGGTTACGAGCGAAAAAAATAATTTTTGACGACGATTCGGGCAAGACAGAGCTATTGAGTCTTTGTCGCCAGAATAAACCACAAAATACCAGGTACGTTATAGACGAGCTACTCCAAGAACATGGGCATCAGGTTTTGAAATTGCCTCTATATCACTGTCAATATAATCCGATTGAGTTGGTCTGGGGCATTTCTAAACAATACTATGATCGTCATATTGGAAAACATGGACGTGGAGATGAAACAGCGAAAAAAGTTTGGGGCGATGCATTAGCTGAGGCAACAACTGCAGTGTGGGCGAGTTGTGTTAACCATACTGAAAAATTAATTCAGGACGACTGGGCAAAAATGGTCACATATGATGAAAATGAAAGTAGGATTATCATCGATTTGGCGGAAAATTCCAATGATGAAGACAGTTCCAGTGAAGACGCTGACTGATTAGCTAATTAATCAAGGTCAGTACGTTCTAACAGTTCAGAATTCGCTACAGTGCTTAAAACTTAAAAAATCTGTATCATTTTTTAATTAAAGTGAGTTAAATAATTAACACTTTTTTGGGTATATTTCAAAATCCTTTTAAAATGTACTTTTCGTTATATCCTGTCCTATTGTACTGCAAGCTAGAAAAATACTTCTTCGCAATTTATACTTATATTCCGTTATTAGAAATTTAATGAAAAATAATTTATAATTTTCTTTTATAACTATTATTTCGTTTGAAATGCTACATTTTGCTTCGCCACTGAAGGAGGTAAACGAATCGAGTTTAGACAAGGAAAGACAGATGAAACAACTTATTGCAAGTGTTTTTACACGCACACGCCAAGAACGATGAAAACGATTATATAAGAATATTTCATTGGATATCACTAGATAGAACAAAACTGGGTAGACCACACAGATCATGGAGTAAGAAATTCAGAAGAATGATAAATGACCAAATCTACGACTACATGATACCTAGGAACAGATAGGATTGACGAAGAATGATGGAAGCATAGGAGCAAGACAGTTATTTTTATTATTTTACTCTAGTATGGAGGATTACGAAATCGTTTTCGCAAAGGGATTTCTGCCTAGACGAATTGGCATGACGTGGATACAAACCATAAATGCCCATACCAGTGCAATCGTCGTATGCTTGTTTTGCTAGGTTTAGAAAACACAGATTTAGGCTGAATCCTGAATTCGATTTATATCCTCATTAGTAGATAGTACTGTAGCGTCTTTTTGTAAATATTTTTCAAATATTGACTTTTATACTCGGAAAAGGTTTTATTTCGTTAGAGCTTACCATGAGTTCGCTTTGATGAAGACAAGAGACAGAAATATGCATATCAGCGAATGGTGGTACGCTGTAACGAAATCAAACCTTTTCCGAGTATAAAAGTCAATATTTGAAAAAAATTTACAAAAAGACGCTACAGTACCATCTACTAATGAGAATATAAATCGAATTCCATTCCATTGGAATTGTTGCTGAATGTAACATTAGTGTGGGTTGAGGTAATATCACGTAGATCATGTCTATCGCACAGTCTATGTGTGGAAAAAAATTTCGAGGTATATTACAGATGTAAATTTTTAAAAGTGAAACTGGAACAAACCATGAAGTGGAGATATCCAGGAGTGGCTAGTATACCTGTTGAATACAAAGCACGTGGTGTTCGTGTGTATTAAGGTATAAAAAAAGCGCTTATTAAAAGCTTAAAATTTTTTATTATAAAGAAGATCTTTTCGGAATTGTATCATTCCATCATCAGTTTACTAAAAGAGAGAGTAAAAATACCAATATTAAAAACAACAAAGTTAAAATTTGGATATACAAAAAGAAAAAGTTGGTTTTTTACTACTTACATAAAAAGTTGTTAAAAAACATTGTGTGGCCACATAAAAAACATTCGATGGACATCTTGATTTAAAAAATAATCTTCATGTTATTTATTCAGGTAAATGCAATAGACTCTTGACTTGTGTAATATTCAAAAATGAAACTGGGGGCATCTTATATGACCCCCTGTAGTTGGTGAGGTTTTATTGACTTACATTACATTTGGAGTCTAGGGCTAACTGATAGAAAGATGGTATGAAAAATCAGTTAACCCGTCAATGTCAAGAGGAATGATGTGGTAGGGGCAAAGTCATTGTGCTTAAGTTTGTAAGTAGGCAGTTTTTAGTGAAGAAATGTGTTTTGTGTGTAGTAGGATCATTAGCAATTTTTGGTATTTTAAAAAACTGATGGGAGAATATAAATCAATGAGTGACTGCGATGTAAAATAAATCGGTATACCAAGGCTAGTAAAAATTTGTGTAATTTAAGTAGTTAAAATTAATAAATCATTTTAAATGGGATGAAAAGGATGTTATTACCTAATTGTTTCGTTGTATTAAATGAGTATATATAAAAAAGTTGGATTGTAATTTATGGAAGATGAGTCGAGGAAAAGAAAAAGAAAAAAGAAATAAACGAGAAAGCAAGAAAAGGAAATAGAAGGTGAATGTAACAATGTAAGCTGGGGATATTGAAACTGGTTATGATAAGAGATCGATAGATGTAAAATGAATATATATGAACATATAATGTAAGTCAATAAAACCTCACCAACTACAGGGGGTCATATAAGATGCCCCCAGTTTCATTTTTTAATATTAGACAAGTCAAGAGTCTATTGCATTTACCTGAATAAATAACATGAAGATTATTTTTTAAATCAAGATGTCCATCGAATGTTTTTTATGTGGCCACACAATGTTTTTTAACAACTTTTAAAACAAGTAGTAAAAAACCAACTTTTTCTTTTTGTATATTCAAATTTTAACTTTGTTGTTTTTAATATTGGTATTTTTACTCTCTCTTTTAGTAAACTGATGATGGAATGATACAATTCCGAAAAGATCTTCTTTATAATAAAAAATTTTAAGCTTTTAATAAGCGCTTTTTTATACCTTAATACACACGAACACCACGTGCTTTGTATTAAAGATGTCTAAGGTAATTCCGTTTCACAATCCCATATCTGTGCTCAAACATTGCAAATGATAGTTTATAATCAGGTGATACCAATATGAATAACTAGATTTGAATACAAATAATGTCAATACTAATAAACAACAGGCTTTTCGGCTAGGACATCTTGTGACTCTGCCACTGTCGAATTTGTACAATCTGTTAATTAAAAAATTGAACAAGAGGCAGACTTTCTGTTCGAAGATCTAAAGGCAGACGGCATCAGGGATCCAGTAAATTCGTTAATAATTTGATACATTTTAAGACATTCGTTTTATGTTACGATAAATAATATGCTCTGATATTTTTTACAATAACCTAGGAAAGTTATTTTATTCTAATTGTGAAGAATAATAATTTTGTGTTGGGGTGTTAATAATAAAAGATGAGGTGTTATAAATAATTGAAAAAATTGAACTTACCGAATCGTATTTGTGTGCTACAAAGTTGCTTTGTTTACACTGTAAAAATTGTATTGCTAAACTAACATCATTCTTGTACCTTTCCTAAAAAATAAAGACAATTTTTTTTTATTTTTCAGCCCAGTCAAAAAATTTATTCAATAGTAAAAGTCAAGGCATATTATCATGCACGTATAGTTTCCGGCACGTAGCGTTTCCAGGTCAGCAAACGGACTGCACGTTCACATTTTCATACATAAAACGTTTCAGTTTAATGTGATGAAGGTGTGTTCTCGCTTTTCCACGTATGTTCTTTTTTATTTGTATCATAATAGCATTTATCATTGTATTTATATAAAATTCTTCACCGCGTACGAGTTCAATTAATTTTTCGACATCCATTTTAACTTGTACTATTAAACTGTACATATCAAACCAAAGAGTATTTAAAAAAAAAGAAGAGGTATCACTTCCGTGCAAAAGTCCTAATTGTTTATCACTTCTGTATATAATTGCATAAATGACAAAATAGCGTAGAAAATTATTTTTTTTAATACTCTGTATCAAAATCAAACAAATACCTAAATACAACGAGAGGAAACGACGGACTCCTAATTCACATTATCCGTAGCAACAGGTTTCGACTCGTTCCACGCTACGGTCGAACGTGGAGTACGGCAGGGTTATGTTTTGTCACCCACTCTTTTTAATCTGTACTCTGAAGAAATCTTTAGGGAGGCTTTGGATGACAGACAAGAGGGAGTAAGACTAGGTGGAGAAGTAATCAACAATATTAGATACGCTGACGATGCAGCCATTCTTACAGAAAATTTACAAGATCTCCAAACATTACTAAATCTAGTAGGTGAAGCAAGTTATCGTAGAGGCCTTGAAATCAACATTTCAAAGACAAAGTGGATGACAGTTGGAAAGATCAATATAGATCAAGGTCTGATTTCTCTTAATGAAGAGGAGATCGAAAGGGTAGCATTTCAAATACCTTGGCAGCTGGTTAAATGTAAATTGTGACTCTGATGAAGAGATAATAGTTTTATGCAACAGAAACCTGTTGATGAATATTCGTAAGAAGGTCATGAAATGTTATGTGCGATCCATCCTATTGTATGGTTGTGAGACATGGACGTTAAAAACCACAATGCTAAACAAGTTAGAAGCATTCGAATTGTGGTGCTATAGACGAATCCTAAAGATATCGTGGGTTTCGCACACTTCCAATGAAGATGTTCTTCAAATGATCAATTCAGAACGTCTGCTCATAAACACCATAAAGAGGAGAAAAACAGAATACTTCGGCCATATAATTAGAGGACCTAAAAACCATCTACTTCGCCTTATAATACAAGGAAAAGTGGAAGGAAAGAGATGGATTGGTCGAAAGAAACTTTCATGGCTGCGTAATATTAGACAATGGTGTGGTTCCACAGTAGAAGAATTATTTCGCGCAGCAGTCGACAGAGAAAGGTTTCAGGAAATTGTAAACATGATGACGGCCAACGTCTGAATACGGACACGGCACCCAAAGAAGAAACGCTACGGGCTGGAAACGCAACGTGCATGATAGTATGCCACGACCTTAACCGGTAAAGTTATGGTAACCAAAGCTTCCAAATAATATCCAATGATAATGGCATTCAGGGTTGGGCTGTTTTAAAAAGCTTTTGTAAGCTTTTTAAAACAACGTTTTAAAACATGTTTAAAAACACTGAAAAAAAAACAGTTGCATTTTAAAACACCGTTTTAAAACATTGTTTTAAAACATTGTTTTAAAACATAGTTTTTTTTCGTTATTGTTTATTATTATTTTGTTTATTAACATTTGTTATAAGACATTTGTGTTTGCTAATTTGCAAAATTGCAAACATAGATTATAGAGTAAGTAGGTGCAATAACAATATTAATGCTAAGTAAAAAGTAAAACTCAAAAAAAGTAACTGACTAAACTTTATTTATGTTCAGGTAGCAAGCATACTAGTACTGTTACGACAGTGCTGTAGTAACATTAACTAAACCAATACTCCTAATAAAGTTAAAAGAAAAAGAAAATCAAGAAACTAAGTAAATAATTATTGAATTACAACAGCATCTATTACACAGTCCTACATCCTGCAACTGATATGTGATACAAAAAATAAAAATAACAATGAATGTTCCTTAAAAAAAATAAAAACTATAAATATAGAGCTTTTAGGTTAATAATGTAACCTTAAACATTTTTATTTAAATGTTGAAATATTGTTACTAGCTTAGCAGCTTTGTCACTTCCTAACCTATTCCTCAATTTCGAGTGAACTAGACCATATGAAGAAAATAGCCTCTCCACTCCAGCAATGGATGCAACTGCTGAAAATAATTGAGTTGTCAGCTGCAACAACTCCGATGAAATAAACTGTTTTTGAGATAGCCACCATGTTAAAGAACTTAAATTGTCTACTGTATTTTTTGCAAACAAATATTGTTTATTAAATGGCGGTGCTAAGGCACGAAATGACAGTATTTCAGGCATTACATTTGGGTGAAAATCCGAAATAAATAACAATGCTTTATCAACTTCCACCTCAGAGAGTTTCTGATCTAAGTACTGAGGGTCTAATAAATAAGCTAAATAATGCGCATCTGTTATAGCCAGTTGAAAACGTGCTTCTGCTTTATGAAGTTCCAACACGTTGCTACAACCGTTAGATTGAGCTTCACTTTCACTTTGGAAATAACCCAGTAAGTCCTTCCAAATGTCTGTTGCATCTGCTATGGTGCAGGTATTTCTCTGGCATTTATCCAAAGCCCATATGTGTGCCAGTTGAGGTTTATGGGAATCCCCTTTAGAAATCCAGTGAAATACGTAATTATTTTAAAACGTTTTTTTTTTGTTTTAAAACAGTGTTTTTTTGGTTTAAAACAGTGTTTTTTTAGATGAAAAAAAAACTGTTTTAAAACAAAAAACATTGTTTTTAAATAAAAAAAACATGTTTTTTGTTTTTTTTTTAAAAACATTTTTTTGTCCAACCCTGAATTGGCATTAGGTTAGTAAACCTACTAACTTAGTATAGTCTTTGTTAGGACATGTGCCTAGCAAAAAATCGTTCATAAGGGAACATGGAGATCTGCGGACCGTTTTACATACATATTTCATGTGTAAATGTTAGCAAATCAACAGTATTGAGACCTACAGAATTACAACAACGAAAGTGTGAAACATTTTAGATATTAAGTCACCGCAAGGAACAATGTCAGCCAAGAAGTTAAAAGAAGTATACATACCACGAATAAAACATTTAAGTTACTAATTAAATATCTAAGAATGGATAACATTACAAGAATAACCGAATTTCAAGTCAGATGCCTAATAAGGACAGTTATTGTATATGTACTGTACTGGCAGATACCAGTAGGAAGAATGTCAACACGAAGCCTCAAACATATATACATGGAAAAGTGGCAGGCGATGGGAAAACACTTTAGATTAATAACTAGAAAAACAAAGAAAAACACATCACAATAGCGGAAAATTAGCAGACTAAGTTAAAATCTACGTATGAATAAAGATCTGGAAATTATGCGTATCGTGAAAATCAGAAAGATGACATACTTAGGGCATGTGATGCGCAATGAGAAGTATCAACTAATTTAACAAGGCAAGATAGAAGGCAAAATATATCAAGGGCACAGAAGGACATCGTGGTTGAAGAACATCAGACAGTGGGCAGGAATGACTACCATACATTTATTTAGAGCAGCTACCAACAAAATTGTATGGACCAACGTGATTGCCAACATCCACAGAAATTTGTTTCAGCCTAGCCAAAACAGAATCCAAAACAATAATATTGTCATCAGAAGACGAATTTTACTAGTTGTTAACGCAACTAACAAATTTGAAGGATTTTTCTCGCTTTTTCAGGTATTCACTCTGTTAGTATTTTAGCCGCGAGACAACAGCGCAGATTGGCGCTGAATGCCGGTAAGCGGTAACCTGCTTTTACTGTGTTTGTCCCTATTATTTATCTACCGCACTGCCTTTTCCAAGGCAATAAATATTAAAAAAGAAGCACGCCAGTGTGTCTCGCTATCTTAGGTAATTATAAATACCCAATAACGTACAGTTTTCTCCTTGAATTCTAACGCACAAGCTTGCGTTTTGAATTGTTAGTTTTGTCATCCAATTGGATATAGATCGAACAAGAAAAAGGTAAACAATAAAAACCCAGTGGATTCAATATGCTTTTGTTAAAGCTAATCGTGAGAATACAGAAACAGTGATGTTTAAGAGCAGTCCGGCAAGGAACTAGAGATAATTTTTCAACAAGTACTTACTTGAACAGTTAAAAGGAGAAATGCTGTATTAAATGCCGAACCATTAGAGCATATTTCAGGTATGTCGTCGCGACTGTCATTTTGGTCGACAATACGCTGGGACTTAATGGAAGGGACACATAATAATTATAATATCAATAAAAGTATTACAAGAAAAACAAAAAATGACAATGTATAACAAGAATGTCAATGACATATGGATCCGAAAACCAGATAATAATAAAGAAGAAAAACAAAAACAGAAATGGAAATACTATTTCTAAGGAGAAATTGTAGTTACTCGACAGGGCAGAATAAATAATACTGAGATTAAGAAACGTATGTAAAGATTCCGTCAAGAAATAAGAAATTTGGCCTAAGGCTGGTGGGATGACTCAGTCGACCGCAGTATTATAATAATCAACAACTATTGATGTTACTAATCCCTCAATTGTCTTTGCGACGGGTAGCAATAGTTTTGGAACAGCTTTAGGACTGGAATTTATATTATTTACAGAACTGATTCGTTACCTATCAGTGCAAATAAATTGTTAAAATTGAAATTTCTACACAATGCTTCGTATTAAAAAAATTTTGTTATACACGAATTAGTCATCTTTGCTTACTCATCTGATTTACTCATCTAAAATTACGTTGCTTGGAATCAATTAATATTAACGATCACAAACAACTTTGATATAAATAAAACAATAAAATGGACTTTCGATAAGGAAGCTTTCTATCTTGAAATAAAAGAAAATTAAAAAATCATTAGCAAGTATATATTAGTTAAAGAT